AGAATCTTGCCTTCTCCTGATGTGCCCCAAGTAGGACAGTCTCAGTTTCAACATTTTTGCCTCCATTCAGGCTTGTTTTGATCTTGGATCTCCTTATTCTGTCAGTCCAGGGTATCCACTACACATGGTGAAAGGGTTTGAGTGTGTCAGTGAGGCTGAGAGCAACACTGTCAGGAGGCTAGACTCCATTGCAAGCCTGGGCTCCTAACAAGGTCACCCAAGGCAGAAAGGGTGACAGCGGGGGGCACCAGACGAAGATGCATCCACCCTCTGCAGGGCAGTTACTGGGCACCCACAGTAGCTGAAAGAGACACGGGCAGAAGTGACAAGGGCAATGACACTCAAACTAACTTTTGTCAGTGCTGTGCAGTGGGTGGCAATGGTAAACCCCAGCTAACTTTTCTTACCATTAACACTCTATAATGAAGCAGTTCAAATTCAATACTATACTTTGGGGGCATTAGATCTTTGTATTGGCTGAGGTAGGGATGCTAGAACCCATTAGCTGATCTGGAAGGGATGCTAGAACCATTAGCTGATCTGGGGAAAGTAATCAATCATGAATTTTCAGGATTTGGTATATTAATTTGAAACAATCACTCTTCTGTTCTGTTTCTCCTTCAAGGGAAAAAAAGGTCCAAAGAGAAAAGTTTTAGAGTTAATTTAGCAGACCTACTACAACAAAGGTCAACAGCAGCTGGTTTCCTGTTTAGGGTGCCTTAAACCAGCAACCCCTGTCCTTTTGTTGTTATTTTGACTAGATTCATGCAACTGCCCTACAGGAGAAGGAAACAGGAAAGGACAGGAAATGCATCCAGAAATAAACACTGACCTCCCCCACTCCCCAGACGCTGGCGTGGTACAAAGAAATGGTTAGACTCCCCCACCCACCAGGACTGATCTGTGGTTTGCTGGACAGCAGTCAGCTCTTCCTCTGAAAGACTTAGTGATCCACATCTCCAGAAAAGAGAAGAAAGCATGATTTCAACACTTCTCTGTTCAGACAGTTCTTGGCTGCTGAAAATCCGTTTAGGGCTATAACATATGAAAATAAATCCTTGGACATCTTGTCTTGCTTCAATCCCCAGGGTGAACACAAGGAATCCTAAGGCCAGTTCAAAGGTAAATTAAACATTTAAGAGTCTGCAGACAGAAAAGCAGTAGCAGAACTGTTTTCTCCTCCTGCTTGCCATCATGCAGAACTCTGGTATAGTAAGCAGGAGAGAAAAATAAGTAGAAAAAATATAGGCAGAGCTTGTTGCTTTAAATAATTAATTAATTACCCTTTAACCATGGCATTCCCCTGTAGTCAGTTACCATTATAACTACAATTTTAAAAATGTATCTGCTACTTCCCTGTTTCTGAAAATTAATTCCTTTGGAATTACTAAAAACCTATCTGAATGTTGCAAGGCACAAAACCCCCTCCTCCCATTTACTTTATTATTGCTTCAGGACCCACAGTAGAACATTAGGCAGCAGTGTGATCAATCCATTAGTCCTCCTCTAACACTGAGTGTAGCTATGGCACATAACTATAAATGTAACTGGAAAGTTCTTACAGGGGGCTGAAATGCTATCTCTTGTTAAGTTATAGCAATAACATAATATATGCCTTTTTATTGTTCAAAGGAATTGATTACAAGTTGTTAGCTATCTGTAAATGGTTTACCTCCAAACTACAACTAGACATCAGAGTCCAGGAATGGTCCCCAACAACTCCAGGTAGGGTTAGAAAAACCCTTGCCTAAAACCCTACCAAGGAGTGTCAACAAATCCTGGCCTAGACAACCTTGCCTGACTCAGTGAAAGGCAGCTTCCTGCCTGTCCCGTCATCTGACCAGACAGCCTGTAGGTTGCAGGTAATTAGTCCCTTTAGCATCCCATCTGATTCATCTGCAAGTACTTACCCAGGCATGCCTGGATGTTAGCTGCCCCCATAAATTTCTTTTGAAGTGGCTAGAAAGAGGCTAAAAGAATCCCAGAGGTCTCTTAGGTCAGCACTGAGCATCAAAAGCAGATGCGTACATTGTAAAATTGTTCTATTCAGACTCCCTGTGTGTATCAGGGCTTCCAGGTGTGAATTGCCTCCTCTTCTCCTGACCTGTACCGATGGCCAGGTTGGTTGGCACTGATACAAATCAGTCCAACAACATCTGGATGGCCACAGGGCTGCTATATACACAGTGAAACAATTCAGCACACAGGTACATGAACATTTCTAGGAGTATAGCATCTTCTCATTGAAATAAGACTATAAGACGTGTGTACATGGAATATATTACAAGACACAGGAGCTTGGGCTGCATGGATGGCTAGGTTTGGGGTGCCCACCCCCCTTATTTATTTTACTTTTCTTCCTGATAGAAAGTGAAAAACATAGTTCTAAATGATCTTTCAGATATTGGCTAGCACCTAAATAGGTCATCTTCACAAATGGTCAGCTATGATTAGGGTCCATTTCTGCTATTTTGACTGGTTTCGGGTAACTCAGATCACAATCAGCTTGCTGAGAAGACTGTCAACACTCCCACAGCCTTAAAGCTGAATAGGTACCCGCACAACCCTTTTATATTGGATTCTGTATAGGGGAAAGGGAGACAATAAATTAAAAGAAATGAACTACAGTTTATAAATATGGCCCACTTGGGAAGATCGTGCAGCAATTAATTGGCCTAGGATTCCGAATACTTGGGTTCCTATTCTCATACAGGAAGCTCAGCAGGTGACCCAGGTCAGTCACACTTTCTAACCTACCTCACAGGGATGTTGAGAGGATAAAAACAGGAGGACCTCATGAGCTCCTTGGAAAGGCAGAGTACAAATGTAGATAAAATCCCTAACAACATATTTAACCCGTGCCTCATGTTATTGTTGTACAGCAGGTCATTTGCCCCTGTATTTGTGAAGTGACCCCATTGAACTTCTGTCTGCGATGTCCCATTCACACGCTTAAAAAAAAAGAAAAAGACTTCACTAGTGTCAGGAAGCAATAAACACCCGCGTGTTCCTTAAGGGGGAAAAAACCCGATGAAGTTGCCATAGATATAGTTACAGACCATAGATAATACGATCAGGAGCTTGAGCTAAAGGAGCCTTGGGATCTTTTTTTATCTCCGCGATTTTCCCAAATGTTGCCGGGCAGGCCTCAGACGGCAAAGTGCCGTTGAAAATTCAAGGAAACCCACCTCGGAAATTACCCCACGGGAGAAGCCGGTACGACTTGGACCTGCTTAGCTCTGCCTGCCAGGACTGGAAAGCGAGGAGCTTCTCTTGGGCTCCGAACTACAACGGGGCTGGGCGGAGGAGGGGGGG